CCATCTAGTTCTTCTGGTCTCAGGCTGATGAAGTCTCTGGTTTATGTGGCCCTTTCTGTCTCTTGGGCTAATACTTTCCTTGTGTCTTTGGTGTCTCAATTCTCCTTTACTCCAGGTGGTTGGGACCAGTTGATGCATCTTAGATGGCCGCTTGCTTGCTAGCTTTTAAGACCCCAGAGGCCACTCACCAAAGTAGGATGCAGAACATTTTCTTAATAAACTTTGTTACACCAATTGACCTAGACATCCCCTGAAAGCATGGTCCTCAGACCTCCGCCCCTGCTACTCTGTCCCTCGAAGTGTTTGTTTGTATTCAGGAAACTTCTTAGCTTTCATTTAGTCCAGTTGTGCTGACTTCCCCTGTAGTAGAAACAGCAGATATTATTAAGACCTAGTCCCTGCACTCAGGAACCAGCTATGGTTTGGCAAGGAGGCCAGTCAGGGACAAGGCTAACACTAGAATAAGTCAGTCTGTGATGTGATACAGGCAGGAACAAGTACTGTAGAAAGCCAGAGAAAGGAAGACTAGTTATGACCAAGTGGGGCAGGGAAGATTGGGAAGCTGGGCCTAGACTAGTCCTCTACTATGATATTTAGTGTGGTGGATGGCCCAAGACCATCAGAGGTTATATTGAGGTTTTTAACCAAGAAGATGGGCAAAGTCGTGGCATTAGAGACAGAAACAGAATAGTTAGAAAGAGAGGTGGGTTTTAGGGAAGGTAATGGTTCAGTTGGAGCTCCTTGCACTGAAGGAGATAGCAGGACATGTGGCAGTCTAGACTGGGGTACATGTGAGAGCTGGGGGCTGAGGTTTGAGAGTCAGTAGCCTGAAGATGAAGCAGCAGAAGTGAATGAACTTTTGGAAGATAGAGATAGTTCAAGGCCTAAGATGAAGCCTCCTGCCATTCCCCTCTCTCTCCAAATGCCAGAAAACCCCAAAATGGAGCCCCATCTTTCTGAATTCCGTGCTGACTCCTGCTCTTATTCAGTTCTCACCACAGATTTTGCCTGTTCATTTAAAAGCATTTCTCATTCTGCTGCTCTGTTTACTGGCAGGCAACCTGGGGAATCCTCCTAGCAACTGCCTTTCTCTCCTGAGACTCATCTACTCACTAGATCACCTGCCTCTAGAAGAACTGCCTGACCACACCTCCCTTGTAGCTGTTCCTGTTCTCTCCCATCACAGGTGTCCCCTCCCTGCAAGGTGGCCCCTCACCCTAGATTCCTTGAGCAGGCCTGAGAGCATCCAGGGGCCTGGCTTTGCCCAGGGCAGTGGCATGCAGTCCGGCCTTTCCTAGAACCAGACCTCTGAGCACTGGGATCAAAGCTCACCATCTCTATGCCAGACAGGCTGAGGGCACGGGTGGGAGAAAGCCCAAAGGGGTCAGGATTGGTGTCACCAGATTTAAGAGCAGCTGTCACTGTGGGAAGCAGGAGGATACTGTGCTTGGTCTCTCCAGTTCCAGAGGGAATGAGGATCAGTGGTGAAAGTCATAGGAGGGCAGCGGTGGGTTCTCTGGGATGTGACCATTTTAACAGCAAAGCTGTGGAAGGGGACAGACACCCCCAGCCATCGAAAAGGATGGAGCTGGGCCTGCTGACCATGTGTCAGGGCCTGCTAGAGGACAGTAGAGCACTACAGATTAAAAAAAAAGTGAGTGACTAGCACTATACATATGTTATGTCATTTAATCTTTTCACGAGTTCTGTGAAGTACACATGACTATCCCCTCTCTCAGACAAGGGCCCATAGTCTCAGGGGAAATGGCTCACCTTGGGTCACACTGCTAGAAAGGGGCAGAATCAGGAGTCTCCCTCACTCAGAAGCTTTGGATGAGGATGGACAGGATGACATCTCTCTTCTGGACTATAAGAACTTTCTAGGGAGGGTGTATCAGAGGAGTAATGTCTTTGGAATGTATGTGTCTGTTTGCCTTTTCATCTGTGTGTCCATCCAGAGTCTTGATGGGGAATTCCCTGAAGCCTTCCCAGTGAACTGCCCCAGTAATTTTTTTTTCTCGGAAGCTCCTTAATGATATGAATCTGGGAAATCAGAGACTCCCTGGCCTGGGTGCTGGGATGGTCAGAAGACCCCTCCCCTTCCTCTGCTTTGGGAGACTGGTTCCTTATGCCACCTCATGTCTGCCCTGTCCCTTGTCCGTTTACTCTGACCCCTGCTCTCCCGTTTGCAGATGCAGTACTTGGACTCCATGAATGGTGAGGATCTGCTTCTGACAGGGGAAGTGAGCTGGCGCCCTCTAGTGGAGAAGAATCCTCAGAGCATCCTGAAGCCCCATTCCCCAACTTATAACGACGAAGGTCTCTGATGGCTGGTCCCTCCAAAAAGCTGGGCAACTGGCTTGAGGAACCTCCAGGAGAGAGATGGCTGTTTTGCCCAGGACTCAGCAGAAAGTAGCCTGAACTGACCTTTGAACAGCATCTTCAACTACCTGGCTCCATTTGTATTCATTTTCCTCTTAATGTGCCCAGGAGTCTGAGCTGGTGGGGTACAGTGCTGAGAGAACCCCTAGCTCTTCTGGGGTGTCCTCTTCCTTAGAGAAGCACTGAGCAAGAGCTCTCCAGCACATACTCCCCAAGTCCCCTTCCAGCCACTATGTGTGGCTGACAACTTTTCCCAAAGGCCTGGGAAAGGATGGGGGTAGATCAGAAAGGGATACCCCCACCAAGGGCCCACTGTGGCCTAGGAGCAGTTTGTAATGCTGCTGAGTCATGATGGGTAACCACACTTCTGTCCCCTGACATTGAGCCATGGGTGAGTTGGCTATTAAAAGAAAGAGAGACTTGTCTCTGCCATGGCTCTTCTTTATTGTAGTGTCTTTTAGAAACGTAGCTGAGATGGTGATGCCATGAACTGAGGAGTACCGCCCGGCTCAGATAGAGACAGGGAGGGGGGAGGGTCTCTGTTGCTGCCTTTGTCCAGTTTATGGAGATGTGTCACTGCTCCAGCCTGCCAGGCCCTAGCCTCTGGGACCAAGGAGGTCTCTGGTGGCCAAGGGGCCATCCGAAGTCATTTGGAAAGAGGCCTCAGAAATAAACTTCCCTATGTCACCCCCAATGAACAGGGTGAGGAACATGCTGTCTTTCCTTTCTCAGCCCTCCTTATGTGAGATATTGGGGAGAAAAGGAGAACCTTCCTTCTGGCTTAGTTCCACCGTCCTAGGCCCCAGCCCCTGTGCCCTGCGTTCTGTCCCCTTCCCAGCTTCGGGGCTTGTGGTGCAGAACCACCACAGTCTGAGCAGTGGACGACCAGTCGGCTCCTCCCTCTGAGCACGGGCCATCTCCTGGGGGAGTTTCTTTAAATTGAAAAAGGGGGTGGGGAGTCATATTGTTCACCCCTCCCCCAATCAAACTTTCTTCATTTAACTTGCTATAAAATGAGTCATAGAAAGAAACTGTATATGGCTGAGGTATATCCCACTTCTGTGAAAACATTACAAGTCAAACCGCCTTCTCTGGGTTTATTTAAGATGCTTTTGTTGCAAGCGGAGCTCTGTGGTGAAGCCTTCACTGTGTGTATGAGATAATAACACCTTGTAACTCATTACAGCTGGGCACTATTTACATAAACCAGAGCTGAGCCAGGCAGGAATTTGCTGATTAATTTATTTTTAATGGAGTGAAGTATACCATGCACCAAAATAAACTTTACTGTGTGTACCTAACTGCCCCTGGAATGGATGGAAAAATTAATGGAACAGATTTTGGCTCCCAACTCTACACATTAATTCATATATAAAAGTTATTTGAGTCTTAACCCATTTGCTGCCCAGGGCAGCTCCCCAGCCACAGATCCCAGCCCACAGTACCAGTTCAGCTACTGGGCTTGCTTTAGAATTTGGGAATCTCAGATGTGGAAGGAACTTTAAGGTCATTGAGTCCAGTCTCTGTCCACTACTTGGCTCCCCTTTTCAACATCGCAGCTGGCCTATATTTATAGAGGCCTTGTGTGAAGAATCCCTCTAGCACTGGATAGCTCCTGTCTCCAGAGCCAAGTCCTTGCTCCATAGAACGGCAGTCATCATCAGATGCTGTAACTCCTAATTAAGGAATCGCATTTGGAAGAGCCAGATTGTATCTATCGTGTCTGGTGTCCCCAAGCCCTCACTTCCTGGCCATCTGCATTTCCACCGACTATCCTAATCCTTCTTGCCTTCAAGATAAAATCCAGACAAGGCTCTTCATAGTCTGCCCCCTGCCTCCATTTCCAGCTTGTTATGAGTCCCTAACCATTTCTTCTCTAAGCGAATAGAACCACTTGTGGTAACCTGGAGGGGCCACACTGTGTTTCCTCTACCTGGAACCTTCTTCCTTCCCTCTTCTGACTAGAGAAATCCCATGCTTCCTCACATATCACCTCCCGTTCATCCTAGGCACAGGCACGCTCTTTGTGGTGCTCCTACAGTATAGTATGCTCTGCTCTGTTAGTACTCACACTCCCAAGTTGAAATTATTTGTTTACATACCCACCTTCCGTACTGCACTGTGAGTTCCTTCAAAGATGATGAGATTGTGTTGAGATTGGTCACCTTTGTTTTTCTAGCACTCAGCAGATTGCCTGACTCATAGTAAGCATCAGTATAAAACGTAAGAAAGAATGAATGACTAAATCAACAATTATCAGTACAAGCCCAACAAAAAGGCCCCTTTCTGGACCATTCTCTCTGCAGTTCAGTTTATTTTCACAACTAAGTGTTAAGCACCTCCTCTGACTTCAGTACAGGAATCAAAACCAAAAGGTCTTTGCATAGCTAAATGTTTTTCTAATGTAAATTGTTATTATACAAAACAAGTGAAGGGCGTGATTTCTTGCACTCAGGGTGATTGTTCTCTAGGAATAATTTTGTTGTTTGTACTCTATATCCTTCCAGAAAGGATCAAAGCAAATTACAGTAAGAGACACAATTACAGTAAAACTATTAAAACAAAGTTTAAAAGATAAGATGCAAGTATTGGGAGGAAAATAATTATTGAAAACCTAGGCAGCTAATGGCCAACCTTCATATGAAATTTTTTTGTAATTTATAAAATATTTTAAATGCACTGTCTCACAACAGTCCTGTAACATGGGTATTATCCCCATCATTGTGTTCATCCCCTTTACCCAAGTGAGGCTAGAGAGTTAGCCAGGGTAAGGAGAGGGTTAAGAGTGTGCTCCGGCCCAGTTGTCTGGCTCCAGGGCCCCCTGCTCTCTCCTCATTCCACAAGGCCTCCCTCAGGTCTTGAGGAAACCTACTGCAATTGAGTGTAGGATCTTGCTCTGAGCTTCCTGGCAGCCGAAGGTAGAAAAAAGAAAGCCTTAAGATTACGTACTTACCGGCATGTAGAAGGAAGTATACCAATTCATCAGAAGGTACAAACATTTTCCTTACTCTTCAGAGCAGAATGTACTATAAGGAATTTTAAGCGAGAAACACTGACCAACAGAGTGAACAGCACCCCTAAGATTTCAGTTTTACCTAAAAAATTTTAAAATAATAAATAATTGCTATTTCTTGCATCAAGCTGAGATTAAAGCCAAGGTCATGTTCAGCCAATGTTTTTGAGTAACTGTTCTGTGACAGACACAGCTTGGTATTTTTACTCATTATCTCATTTAACCCTCAGTGACAGTCCTGTGAGGTAAGTATTATTAGCTCATGTTCCAGCTAAGGGAAACTGAAGCTTGACGGGTGGGGGGCATACGTACCCTGTGTGCAGACTCGAGTTGTCTGCACTGCTTCTAGTTCTAAAAAGCAGTTGTAGATGGGGAAGGAGCACTTGTGCTATGTCAAAAAGTAAAGAGAAACCTAAAGCAATATTCTAGCCATATGGGCTTGTGTGGGTAGATGCATATACTAGAACAAGGGGTTAATCAGAAAAGCCATGAAGGGAGTTCGGACATAAAGAATTTTTTAGGTAGGTGGGAAGTTTTAGGTGGGAAGAAGCGAGGAGCTGCCCAGGTGGAGACACAGGAAAAGAAGCTCTTCAGACCCAAGTGAACCAGCTGAGTCAGGCTGCAGAGATGAGGTGGGGCCATGAGTGGGGTTGCCTGGATTCCGCGTTATCTGACAGGAGGCATGGGGCCACGGTGCATTCTTGGCAAAGACTGGGACTTGAGCATGAACATGCACGGGGGTACACAGGGTGGACTGGCTCAGGCAGGAGGGGATTCTAGCCATGTGGGCTTGAGGTGTGGTGGTAGGAATTAAAAGGGGAGCTATTACAAAGAAAATATCAAGACATGGCCCTAAGTGGTATTAGGGACTAATAACTGAAGAAAGGGAGCAGCCACAGAACTGCCCTGGGAGCTAGGAAATGGCAATGACTGGCAGAAGAGGGCTTTGCTCAAGTGACAGTCACATTACCCTGTGAGACAGGCAGAGCAGGGCTACTGCCCCATCGTGCAATAGGAAACTGTGGCCCACTGAGAAGAAACCACTACTGGCACAAGGTGACCCTACAGCAAAGCTGAACAGTCCCATGTCTGAGCTCTACTGTTAGTGCACAGGGCGGTTCTGCTCTGTCCAGTGGGGTCACTATGAGTCAGGATCAACTCGAGACAACCGCTTTGGTTTTGGTGGGTTGTATGTGTATAGGGAGTCAGCTTGCTGGAAAAGAGGTTTTAGGTTTTAGATGATAGAGATGTTCCAGGGAGGGCAAAGGCATGGGGCATGACTAGGACTTGGGGGCTAGGGCCTTTAACCTTGTCTTGGGTCTAGAAAGGACACTTGAAATCATGTAACTGGATGAGCTCTCAGAGGTGACAGTGTTGAGTATAGACCAGACACTGGGATGGAAGTGGGGAATGCATTCACAGAGAGTAGTGGGAAGAGCAAGAACCGGCAGAAGTAGAATCTCGAGTAGAAGCCAGAGGAGAGGAGAGCTTCCAGGAAGAAGAGTCTGTTAATGCCACATGCTACAGAGGGGGCTAAGGAGGGAGTGTGTGAGGTGCAAGGACTTTGGACCATGCCAGGAACAAACTTTTTGAGAGAATGCAGATTGCAAAGGGTTAATAAGGCTGTGCCTGTTGGTATCTTGGGAAGCATGTAGCTGAGAAGAAACGGAGAAAAATGGGACAGGAATTAGGAGAGCAGGGTAAAACATAAGGTGTGTTCAGCACAGGGAAAAGCTGAAGATGCGTGTGGAGAAGGAGTCAGATTGATTAACTGTGAAGTGCTTATTTCAGCTGGAAACTTTCCATAAATGTTAGGTATTATTATTAGATCCCTCTGGAAATGGAAGCCTGGCCTGGTCTTGAGAACAAGGGACTGGCTTTGGAGGGGAGGAGGGAACCCTTTCCTGAGACCAGGGATTGGGAGGACAGATGGGCGACAAGGAATTCCTGAGGTGAGGGCTGAGAGAAGGGAGAACTCATGCTAGCGGGTCTTGATGCCCAGGAAATCTAGAGTTTAACAGCCATTGAGGTGAAGTGGGAGGGGAAGAGAGCTGGCAGGTTTGTGGCCAGAGGAACTGCCCACAGGACAGCCTCACTGTGTTTGGACTCTTCCCTTGAGAGCAACCCTTCTGCACTTGTTGCCCTCATTCTGTCCACTATGATCCTCCGACTGTGTCCCACCTTGTCTTGCCACCCCCATCCTGGGGAGATTTAGCCTTAGGGGAGGGGTGAGCTAGACTTCAGAACCCTGGCCATGAGTCCTCTACCTGCTCACCCCTGTCCAGTGTTAATCATCGGTCTCAAGTTTTCTGTGGCTTCCAGGAGAGTTCCCTTGAGCCGTGCTGGTGGGCCTAAGACCCAGACCCTGTGCAGGTCAAGGACCTCCCTCCCCTCAATAGGTACACAGGGAGAGAAGATTCTGGAGATATTGGCTGGGGAATTTCCAGGAAAGGAGTCTTCAAGTACTGACCTATAATGTCAAAAAGTGATCAAATACAAATGGTAGCACTAGGAAGAACTAGGGGACCTCCAGCTTAGCCCTCATTTTACAGATGGAGGCTGAGGCCCTGAGAGGGACTCAAGGTTTCACGGTCAAGAACTAGAATCTAGACCTCCGCTTGCTGGCTTGCTTCTCTCCCTGTTCTTTTTTTCCCCCCCTTTAAATCTTTCCCTGAGACCAGGCATAGCTCCTTGACCTCCCAGCTTACTATCTGGGCAAGAGAGAACCTGCCACAGGGCTGCACCGTAGTTGGTGTGACAGGAAGCATGGGCACAGTTCCTCTGAGATTCCAGAATGGGTCATGAGCTCTAAACCCTAAACACTTGGCTTCTACCTCAACCTAATCTGTGGTTTATAAGTATTTATGAGTCTGCCTTCTCCGCTAAACTGTGTATTCCTCTAGAGCAGAGATCAAGCCTTAATCATCTTTGGGACCACAGTGCTGGCATAAAGTAGGCATTAAATACATGTTGGATGGATTGGATGCACAGGGATGAAGAGATGGGATTGGACAACAGGTAGAGAATGAATAATGTTGGGGGCTTAAGGGGTCGGTAAATAATACCTTTTTCCTTCTCTCCCGAGTTCAGAATGAGTTGAGAAAACACAGGAGCCAGATAGATGGACATCAAAACAGTGGCTACTAGAGAAAGTGACTAGCTCTGTGGCCAGACGGACTTGCTTATACTCTCCCAAAATGTGCACCCTCTCCCCTATGCCCCAAGAAAGGGTGGGCCTGTTCCTTGCAGGGGCAGAACCTTTGCTACAGGTTTGCCAAATTTGCTGACAATAAAAAAAACAAACCAAATCTGTTGCCATCCGGTTGATTGTGACTCACAGCAACCCTATAAGACACAGGAGAACCGCCCCATAGGGTTTCAAGGAGTGGCTGGTGGATTTGAACTGCCAACTTTTTGGTTAGCAGCCAAATGCTTAACCACGGTGCCACCAGGTCCCCAGAACCAAAAAAAAGAAATCCAGAAAGACCTGAGCCTAGCCCCTTACCCAAGTTACCAATCAGGGAAGTCATTCTTTCTCCCGTGGGGAGGAGGGAGCGAGTGAGGAGGCAAAACAGGCAGGGCTCCGCCCCTTTCCCTCCTGGAGGGTGGAGTGGAAAATCCCTCCCCACCTGGAAACATGGGGAGTGGGGACAAGGCCCCCCATCTCAGATGGAATGAAGTAGATGGGTGGGTAGAGGGGCTGAGGGAAGGATATGGGGAAAAGGGTGAGCCCCCATCATCACAGCATCTACATCTAGACCAGAATCAGCAAGCTTTCTGAAATGAAAGCCAAAATTCTTATCCCTTTCGCTCCAGTGTACTGGGAGGGAAGCAAGTATGCTTGCCTGTGTGTGTGTGCGTGCAAAGTGGAGGGAGGACCTGGCCTGCCAGGAGCTGGGCTGGAACAAGAGGGCGCAGTGCAGAAACAGCCACATCCCATGAAAATGGCTGGGGGCCATGCTTGCCTGCAGGCCAGCCTTCAAGAAGAAGCCTGGAGTCTAGCCAGGGGGCTCCTCTGGTCTTGCTGCTTAGCTTATCTTCAGGCCTTCACTGCGCCTCTGCCCTTTCACAGCCAGAAGAGCTCTGGATTCAGCATGTACTGAGCTACTACATAAATTCACTCATTTATTTCTCACAACAACCCAGTAAGGAGGTGGTATTAGACTCATTTTACAGATTAAGCCACTGCAACTTAGAGAAATTATGATTGTTCAGCTCATCTGTTAAGTGGCAAAGTCAGCGTTCAAACCCACATGATCTGACTCTGAGTCCAGTGGTACAACCCAAGTCCCTGGGTGGGCCCAGCCCTTGGGATGTGAGGATGAGAGAAGAACCCAGAATGGTGACCCCCTGCTCAAGGAACAGTGAACCACACAGTTTGGGGTTGTTTCTGCGAGTCAGGTGCTTTGGGCCACTCTCCCTGGGTAAGTACTTCCTAAGTTTTCCTAAAACGAAGAGGCCAAGATGACAGAATAAGTTTTCTTAAAACGCAGGTCTAGACATTTACGCCATCATCTTTACAGTAAGAGCCTAGCATCTTCTCCAGGCACTCAAGGCCTTCCTAGTGTTGCCTTTCGGCAGCCCCTTTTCCTGCACCCTGGCCCCACCTTCCTTCAATGGGCATGTCCTTGCACCTCTATTCCTCCAGCCTGGAATGCCCAACCTGCCATTCTGCACTTCTAGAAATCCTTCCCATCCTTTAATACCCAGCTCCAACCCACCTCCGGGCGTCCTCACCACTCGTCCCCTTGTCTCTCTAGCTCTCAGGACTGTGCTTTGATTCAAGGGGTGGGTGCACTCTGACTCCCCTACTGGTCCTGGCCGCTCCTCTGCAGGGCTCCTTCTCCCTTGGCCCCCGAGGAGACAAATTAAATGTGCATGGCAGTGTTGGAATCAAAGCAGCTGCCACTGGAGGGCTGCAGTTCAGCCTCTGCTCCCGCCACCCCCACACAACAGTCACCTGCCCAGGCGTCACTTGACCTGTGAGAGACAACAGACGAGGCTAAATGGCCCCCAGGTTGGTAGAGCGATGCCAGGCAGGCGCCCGACACACCTCCTGGACAGGAAAATATTTTCCTTCCTCTTAATAACAGTCATTAAGGGGCCTGTGCCTGGAACACTGCAGCCACGGCCTGGGCTTCTGTCTGTCTGTATGGCTTCTATCACCCTGGGCCACCACCCCAGGCCCTACTCCAAGGCTGCCTCCCCTCCCTTTTGCCTTCTTACCCACTCAGCCTGAAGGGAGGGCAGCCATTTGTGCAGCCTGAGGGATTTGATTTGACTTATATGCTATTATTATAGGATGGCTGGGATCCCCTGGAGCCCTTTTCCCTTCAACTCAGCCACCTCCACCCCTGGCCCTCTTAGTTGAGCTCCCGCCACACCATACACACCCAGTACTACAATCCAGAGTTAGGCTCAAGGACTATCCCACCCTCAGACACACGTACACACAGACATGCACACGGTGCAAATACAGACATGTGGCTAGATGCTTAAAGACTGTCAGGCAGCCACGTGAACACCACAGCTCTACAGTACACACCTGCGCAGACCTGCACAGGTACAGTTATGAATACCCATATATGTACGTATATTTAGTTGAATCCTGTGAAATTGCCAATATTCAATAGATTTTTACTTATAAAAATGGAACCGGATACAAACGTGGGCATGGAGGGAAGTACACAAAGCCAAAAATAGGTACCATCAGTTAGACGTGGACACACTGAGGGATAAACAGGAATTCCACAATGCAGAACCGGACCTGCCTATCCACCCCAGGGGCAGTCCTGCGACCCAGATAAGGCGCTGATTTCCGCTTTTAAACACCCCTGGAGATGATAAGGCCTTAATGAGGGCCCTGCCACCTCACCCTGGCTGCCCCACAGCTTATTACCCTCCCATGGTCTGGCTCTGCTTACTCACTCCCTGCCCCTCACTCCTCCCCGCCCCCAGGGGGACATCCTCAAAGGGCCTGGTGCTCCAGTTCTGCCCCTGGGATGGGATGGCATGGGAAGGGATGGGATGGGATGGGATGGGTTGAGATGGGATGGCCCAGTATTTCTGTTCTCATGCTATGAGTCCTCACCCCTCAAAGACACAGCCCCAGCTAGATTCATCTTTGGTCCTCAGTGTCCAGTTTAACACTGGGAGTCCCTGAGCCCATTCTGAGAGCACTTGGTGTCCCCCACCCCCACCACCATGTGTTGGACCCCGTGCCAGACTCTGTAGACGCAAAGGAACCAGACGGTTCCTGCCTGTGGGAATGGACAGATGGGCCCAGGCCAAGTAAAGCCAGGTGCAATCAGTACTAAAAGGGGGTTGCGGAGGCTTTGAGACATGCTTTAGGTCTCCTGCCCTGCCCCCACTCCCCACCCCCACCCCATGGCCATCCTCCCTGAACTTCGTCCCTCCATATAAGCGTGGTGCTTTAAGCTGGCACAGGGCACGGTTGTGACCACGTCTGCCTGGACTGCCTTCCCAACACAGCTGCCATCACTGACCCGCTTTTCTAGAGCAAAGCCTCACCCATCCTCCCGAGAACAGGCTTGACGGGCTCTGGGAATTTGGCTCTTTTGCAGGGCAGAGATCAGAAACCTGCCAGCCTGCTTTGCCTCCTGACCTTGTAGTGCATCCCCCCATGCTCTGAAACAACTTTCCTCACTCCCAACCATATTATACTCAGCCCCTGAGGAGGGGAGGAAGGCTGGGGCCCAGCCCCCACTGGGCCAAAAGCACCCCTGGAGTTGAGGGTGTAGGAAACCCAGCCATCCAGAAAGAACATTTCTCAAGGGGTGGGCCTAGCCCACTGCCCCAAGTGCACCAGGCACTTGTTTCAAAGGTGGGCTCCAGAAGCCTACCCCAGACCTTCTGGATCAGAATCTCTGGGTGGGTGGAGCCTGAGAATCTGCATTTTAACACTTCCTGGGCTCCTGTGAGCCACTACTCTGGGCCTTTGGAGAATGGGCTCAGAGCCAGGAGTGGGGCTGGGCAGGGAGATATGAGAGTCACAGTTATGGAGTGGCAGGGTGATTACGGGAGCAAAGAAGGGAGGCCTGGGTGTCTTTTTCCTTGGCAGTTCCCGGCTTTTAGTCCATGCCTGTGCGCCGGCTGTGCCGAGCCATGCGGTGTTTATTGTAGTGTGCTGGGTTATAGCCAGTCTCTGAATTAGTGTTCAGGTCAGTTTATGTGAGTAGGTGTGATCAAAACGTATGGACTGCGTGTATCAGCGTGTACTCTACCTCTGTGTGTCTGTCAGCTGTCTGTGTGTCAGTATGCATGTCAGCGTGTCTGTGTGTTCATGTATTTATCTCATTGTCTTGAGTCATCCATTTACCCCAGGGTGTGTGTGTGTGTGTGTATGCATCCCTCTGCAGGCCTGAGCCCCTCGGGACCATAATCCCACCTCCACAGGGGCCTGGAAGGTCAGGGTCTGGGGAAAATTTGCTAGGAGCCTGGTGGGGATGGAGCAGGAGATGCAGGGGGTGGGGTGGACACGAGAGTGAGTGTGTGCTAAGGGCCTGGCAGTGGCACTTCCCTGGGCGAGCAAATCACAGCAGTGGGCAGATAGGTGGGGCTGACCTGACAGGTTTCAGAGGCCAGGGGCAATTGGGTGGAGGCTGGCTCTGATTTAGGGTGGCAGCAGGTTGGGGATCCTGCCACACACACAGGGCGGGCAGGCAGAAGGCTGTTTTACTGGTATCTTCTTCTGTTGCAGCCAGCCTGGGGTGCAGGCCATGGAGCCCGCTGGCAGGTGAGCAGCCAGGTGGGCAGGCATGTTCAGAAGCCTAAGGCCTGGGGGCCTGGGAGCCCAGGGCATGGCAGGACCCCTGCGGGGTCGGGTGGAGGAGCTGAAGCTGCCCTGGTGGCGAGAGACCTCACCACTGGTGCTACGGCACAGCGAGGCCGCCCGGCTGGCAGCTGACGCCCTTCTGGAGCAGGGTGAGGCTGCCTATTTGCGGGTCATCTCTGAGGAGCAGGAGCTGCCCTTCCTGAGTGGCCTGGAAGTGGACTACATCACCAGCCATGTGCACAGGGGTCCTGAGCTCAGCGAGTCCCAGGGCCTGGAGGCCTCAGGGCCTGACCGTCTTAGCCTGTTCTCTGAAGTCACCTCTGGCACATACTTCCCCATGGCCTCTGATGCAGACCCCCCAGACCTGGACCTGGGCTGGCCTGAGGTTCCACAGGCCACAGGCTTCAGCCCTACCCAGGCTGTGGTCCACTTCCAGCGGGACAACGCCAAGAACATCAAGGACCTGCTGCGTTTCCTCTTCAGCCAGGCCCGCACGGTAAGGGCCTTATCTCTTCAGACATTCATTCCACAGATGTGGAAACTGAGGTCCAGAGTGGGGACGGGACCAGCCCAAGGCCACATGGCAGTTTAGGGGCAGAATTGGGACTAGAACCTCTGGCATCTACTAGATCACAAGCTCCTAGATGGTGGGAATTTGTCTTATGAACTTTGGTAACCCTTTGGCACTCAAGAAAACTATGGATCCCCTGAAGTCATCTTAAAACCAATCAATAGTTTAGCTCAACTAGTAAAAAGGGTCTGCCTTGAGCATTATGCTCTTTAAAGAACTATCTATATGGGCTCAAATTGACAACAGCAACTCTAAAGATTAGATAGGAACCTTAGGGGACAGTGAGTTTATGTTAATGAGGGATGAACAGCTCAGAAAAGGAGGGTGAGAATGGCTGCACAATTGGAATAATGTAATTAATGTCACTAAATTATACATGTAGAAACTATTGAATTGGTATATATTTTGCCATGTATATTCTCAAAAAAAACAAAATAAAATTTAGAAAGAAAACTATGGATAACATAGAACAGGAGGGGCCTCAGGGACTCCACAAACCCTGAAAATGCATGCAAAGCTGTGCATATTGCAGGAAGGGTTCTTCCCTCCATCTTTCTTGAGAGAGGGTCCATGACCTTCATCAGAAAGTTTTGTGACCCCAAAACTAAGAACCACAACCTTGAAGAACACCGGAGCCATCCCCTTGACTTACAGAGGAGGAAACTGCGGCCAGAGAGGGGCTGCGAAACGCTCAGGGAGCACAGGGCTCTGGGCGAGACGGGTCCTTGACAAAGGCCCTGGGGTCCCTGGCTCAGCCCTGCATCCTGGCCCATTCCCCAGCTGTACCTCAGCTCCTCCTGCATGGCATCTCCAGCTGGGGCTGGGGCAGGGCGGGAGTACCGCGCATGGACTTCAGTGTGGCCTTAAGGGCTGGGCTTTTAGCTCTGCACTGGCTGGGAAAGAGGAATGCAGGCTGCTGGGTTCAGGGCTGGGGAGCAGGGGGCTCGAGAGAAAGAGAATAGGAGGGTCAGAAGCCTAGTGTCTTCAAGAAAGGGTAGTCAGTGCTAGGGGGCTCCAGCCACAGACCAGCAGAGCTTCACCTCTGGGCCCTCACTTCTGTGATTCAGGAGGCAGGGGCATGGGTAGGAGGAAGCAGCATGGAAAGCTCCTACTGTAGAGCTCAGGCGGCAGCATGCCAAGTTTCCCCAGTACTTTTGCAGAGCCTTCCTGGCAAGCCTGCCTGTGCCCCAGGCAGGGGAAGGCCAGGACTGATCGGCGTTGGGAATGGGGTTATTAAGGAGGTTGTTGCTATTGCTATCTTCACTCTTGCCCCTGTGATCTTTCCTGCCTGTCCTTATTCCCCCAGCGCTGGCCAGGCCTGTGCTGTGATCCCCCAGTGCATTGCCTCCTCATCCCCCCATCTGAAACCCTCCAACCTAGGTCTAGGAGCCAGGCTCCTGCTCCTGTCACTGGCTTGGAGTGACCTTGAGAAGTGCTTTCCTCTCTGCAGCCCAGTGCACTCGTTTGTTAAGAAGGGAGAAGGAAAGGAACATTTATTGAGCTTCTGTTGTGTGTGGAGGCATTTCACATTTAATTCCCCATAACTCTGAGACCTGGCTATCATTATCTCCATTTAACAGAGGAGGAAGTTGAGGCTCCCAGAGGTGAAGCGACTCACTCAAAGATATAGCACCAGGAAGAGCAGTTCAGTCTAGCAGCCGAGCAGGAGGGCTCTGCTCTGCCCTCCGGCCTCAGCCTTGTTCAGGAGAGGAGGCTGTCACAGCAATGGGAAGAAGTGGCAGTAGTGGCTTGAAGGCCCCAGGGGGTGTCAGGGTATATTGGAGGCAGGCTTGTATGTGGAATAGAAGCCACAAGCCCCATTCCCTGGACAAAACAGGAAACTTGGTTCCACTTGGCATGGGTAGAAGTGAGGGAGCCCATGAGTGTCACATCAAACCTCTGCAGCTTCACAGGGAAACTAAGGCAGGGCTGGTGAAGGGCACTGGAGACCCCAGCCTGGCTTGCAGCTCTGACCCTTGAGAGGGGCGCCTCAGAGCATCCAGAACTAGTGCTAGTAGGGAGTGCAAAGAGCTGGACTGGGAATCCGGGTCTGGGTTCTGCCTCTGACTCCTTACCTGCTCTGGGCCTCAGTGATCCCATACGTAGAATGGGGCTTTAAACCAGCACAGTGGATCCACAGACATCTTTGAGAATCCAATGACAGATAAACACTCTGTCCACAGAAAATGCACCCAAAAACTTTCAAACAACTTCTGTGGGTTCAAGACAGTCAAAACTTCCTGTGCCCAAATTAAGAAGCCCTGGGCTAGGTCACTGCTAATGACCCTTCCAGTTCAGATGTTCTCACAGGCTCTGGCCTCCTGATTTTCAGTCCAGTGCCCTTTCGGGGACCTCAGCCCCTACCCTCGGGCTGGAGTGGATGTTGGCAGTGTCCTGAGCAGGGCTGAGCATTCCCCTTCACCCCCAGGTGATAGCTGTGGTGATGGACATATTCACCGACATGGAGCTTCTGTGTGATCTCATGGAGGCCTCGAGCCGGCGTGGTGTTCCTGTCTACCTGCTCCTGGCACAGGAATACCTGAGGCACTTTCTGGAGATGTGCTACAAAATGGACCTCAGTGGGGGGCTCCTGCCGGTTAGTGAGGGACAGGGCAGCAACGGAGGAGGGGCCAGGGAGGGCATGATCATCAGTTGAGTGGTCAGTGGGTATTGGAGGCCAGTGGGAGTGGGGGACTGGGTTCCCTTAGTATTTTGGGTCAAAGACCCCATGGAGCATACAGCCCACAGTCTGTCAAGGTCACCCCCCAACCTCCCTCCCCCCTCCTTGGTCCAGAACATGCGTGTGCGGAGCACATGTGGGGACACATACTGTAGCAAGGCAGGCCGCCGCTTCACTGGGCAGGCCCTGGAGAAGTTCATCATCATTGACTGTGAGCAGGTGGTTGCGGGCAGCTACAGGTGAGCACGAGGACTGGAGGGGAGAGGGCCTGGGTGCTGAGGGCATCTGGGATCTGGCAGCTATGAACTTTCCCTCCTTCACCCATCTCTTCAAACATGTATGGATCACCTGCCACCTGCCACCTGCCAGGCACTGTGCAGGGCTCAGGGATAGCATGGGGAGCTCACTCTAGTGGGAGGGTTCCTTTAATGCCTTTGGCATAGAGAATAACTACTGTACATTGGAGCTGGAGGGACTTCAGGGAAACTTGCCCCCTGGTCTATTTTACAGATGGGGAAACTGAGGCCCTAAGATGGGCAGCCACTTGCCCAAGTCCACTGAGCAGAGCTAGGATTAGTGCAGACCCTGGGGTTAGAGCTCTGTCTCCCTCACTGTGGTGGAGTTTTGGTCCAGTTTCCTGCTCTGCTTCCCTGGCTGTGACTCCTTCCTCGCCCCTGGGTTGTACTTGGCCTCCTGATCCCGCCCCTCTGCCCCAGCTTCACCTGGCTGTGCAGCCAGGCCCACACTAGCATGGTGCTGCAGCTGAGGGGTTGCATCGTGGAAGACTTCAACCAGGAGTTCCGCTGTCTGTATGCTGAGTCGCGGCCTGTGGAGGGCTTCTGTGGCGGTGAGGAGCCGTTGTCACCCCGGGCACCACGCCCTCCCCTGGTGGCCTGGGCCTTCAGGCCTGGCATCCCAAGCCCCACCTCCTCCTCACCCTCCAGCACCAGCCTCAGCAGCGTCAAGCGCTCTCCTCTCATGGGCTGCTCCTCCTACCTCCCTCTACCAGGAGCCTGCAATGACATGGGTATGGGGCCCTCATCCCCAGGTCCCTCCAGCCGTAAGGCCAGTGGGCAGCCCCCACTGCAACACCAGCTGTCAGACCCTAACCATGGCTCCTTTCCTGGGCTCTACCTAGGCAACCTGGGCAAGCTGGGAGCATCCCCATTGTCCCAGTCCTCCCCTCCCCTCAACCACCATAGCACCAGCCCCCTGGCCCTGGCAGTGGGCTCACCTCTGCTCCCCCACCCGCGCCCCTTCTTCCCCTTCCCTCGGGGTGGCCCAGCCCTGTCCCGGCTCCCAGAGAACGGGCTCCCAGGAAGCCAGGGGCCCAGCCCTCCACGAGGTCACAGAGTACCTGGCCCAGCCCTGGAGACAGTGGATGAGAAGGCATATCTGAGTCAGAGCCATGACCAGCTGGACCTCTTGGTCCCCTTCCCCAGAGCCCGAGAAGCAAGAGGCCCTGACTCTGGGGTTACCCTCATCTCAGGCTCCCTTCAGCCTGGTGAGCAGGCCCCAGAGGACAGGAGGTTGGCCCCAAGCCACAGCTACAGTCAACTGGACCTCTTGCCCTGGGCCCAGGGTGCCGGGAGCACCCTTGAGTCAGGCTCCCCCAGAACTGGTGATCAGGTCTCAGAGGACAGAAAGCTGTCCCCAAGCCACAGCCAGACCCAACTGGACCTCCTGGCGCAGTTCTCCAAGGCCCGGGGCTCCAAAGTGCCCCCTAAGGCCAGTTCCCCAGCCAGGCCCAGCAAGCAGGGCCCAGATGAGTGGCGGCAGACCCTAGGTCACAGCCAGCTGGACCTCATCACAAAGTTTGGCGCATTCCGGGGTGAGGGACCTGGGCCCAATGGTCTCCCCGATCCGAGCCCTGTTCACAAGACTGGAATGGGCGCTGGAGACGAGAAGCGACTGACTTTGGGCCACAGCAAGCTGGACCTCATCACCAAGTATCACCAACTGAAGGGCACCAGGCAGGTGCCTGAGCCTGGCCTGCCCAGTGCCTCCACAGGTGGCCATCGCAATGGTGGTAGCAATGACCTGCATGGGGATGAGAAGTGGCTGACCCTGGGCCACAGCAAACTGGACCTCATTATCAAGTACAACAAGTCCAAGTCCAAGCTGCTCCGAAGCCGCTTTGAGTCCTAGCCCCACTTGCAGCAGGGTCAGGTCTCTCCTCCACCCACAGAGACTCTGGACTTGCTCAGGTCCTAGACTCTTGACAGGGGCTTCATGGGGGTGGGGGAGCATCTAGGAGCTCAGGTCAGACACTCCCTGGGCTTACTTATACACTTACACTTACACACACACGCACACACGGAAATGGAACTCTCAGTAATGGAACCCGTACCACATGTCAGACACTGTGTTGGGCATTCACACCAGTTCCTTCTTCTCATCCTTCATCCTTTCAACATCCCTCTGTGGTAAGTATTATCATCCCTATTTTATAAATGTGGAAGCTGAGGCCCAGAGAGTTTGGATGACTTATTTGGAATCAGATGCAAGTAAATGTCTCTGCCTGACTCTAAAGACGATGTTTTTTGCAAACACAACACACAATAACCACAGTTCATGGGTCCTCATGCACACACAATATACATATCACAGAAATGCTCCAAACGCCTGCACAATACACACAGGCATACCAACAGGGCACACACTCACAGACTGCACACCCCCCCCAACCGATAAGTACACACAGATCCATGAGATAAACAAAACACTTGGAATTCTAGTCGTAGGATCCACAGACCATAAATATGCACACACATATGTGCATGCACATGCATGCACACACACACCAACCAATATCTTCTTGAACCTGAGCTATGTACCCAGCCCAAGGCTGAGCATGCCACAGGGCTGAGGAATGAATCAGACTCAGTTCCTGGGAGACAGAGATTAAATGCACAGAACATTGGAGAAAGGGCAGAGCTGTATTTAAGTAAAGGCTAATCAGGGACAGAGACTAGTAGAGAATGAAAAGCATAGGCTGTAGAGGGTGGAGTGGTAGGAAGTTTTCTTAGAGGGGGCAGCATTTGAACCAGGCCTTGAAGGATGAAGAGGATTTGGACAGATGGAGGGGAGTTAGAGGCATTCCTCTCCCATTCCTGGGAGAAGGAACCAGGTGAAGAGAGGCCCAGGACAGGACTGAGTGGGTCTGTGGTGAAGCAGAGAGGGTGAGGAAAGCATGCAGATACCAAGACACACTCTGACACAAACACACACACACACATAGACACGTCAGATTGTTGAGTGTCTCCTGAAGTCCAGGCTGACAGACTATGGACCTTTTTACTGCCTGAGAGTATACCTGACACAAATCAATAAAAGCAGACATGGCCAAGACCCAGCGGCAGCCTGGTATATTTGAGGAATGCGGAGTTCTGGAACTGTATGTTGAGGGAGGGGAAAGGCACCAGGAGGGCTGGATGGAGGCAAGGGGCTCCAAGCCCCTTCTGCCCTCACTGTGACGTTCTGAGAGACCCTGGGCTTTTGCGGACCAGGTTCTCCTCTCCAAGAGAGCAGGGCCATCCTCGAGCCCCTCAAGGTGGACCTTGGCCACCACCATCTATCCAGGGGATCGAAGGTCGCTGCTGAGTGATGAAGTACACAGGAAACACACATGTGGAAGCCGGTCAGCCGCCACACCCTGGTCCACCCTGGGCCCCTTCCCACCAACCTTTCCCTAAGACTCTGCTTCATTCACCCTCCCCCCGCTCCAATACCTGCTTCAATCTGGTTCTCTCTTATTTGGCTGCATCTCCTTTTCCAGCCTCTGCCCTGGTCTGTGTCTCCCTACAGGACACCTTTTCCTTGGTGACCTCATCCATCCCAGGCTTCAACCCTAAATCTCATTCCTCAGCCCTTCACTCTCCCTTTGTTCCAGAGAAGGCCATCTTCCTACTTTCTGATGTCTATCCTGCACCCGGGGCCAGATTAAGGCATGTGAGGGCCCTAAACACTGATAATCTGTGGTGCACTCTCCTCTGCTTACTCACACATTCGAAAAGGATATGTGAGTTATATATATACATGTATATATGTGTGTGTCTTAGCTATCCATAATGTAAGTTCTTTTCATATGTGACAAATATTAGTGATTGAATGCAAAAGTAGCGTATGCCTTTTAGTGGAATGAGATGAACTGGATTATAAACTTTTTAGTGGATGTGGGGTACTAACATTTTTACTATATGCCACCTTTTCTACAAAAAGAATATTCCATATATTCTACAACAAAGAAAATGAGTCAGTGAACTTAGTTGTTTCATCAAGGTAAAATTCTGTTGATCTCCCACAACAAAAAACTGACTTTCACCAATTTTGCTTTAAATGGCTCATACGTCAATTTTGATGCTTATTTCATAATAAATGCTATAATTATAAATGAACAAATGAAAACATGTCATAAAAGAAAATTTAATGATCAGAAAACAAATATTACAACAAATTACTATATTTTATTTTTAGATAGATCTTTCATCTCTCATGTTATGATTAAAAATTTCTTTCTATTCTTTGCTCTTACAAATTCTTCAATGATTTTGTCACAATTAAGCTGCCAAACACTATCTACTTCCATCCATAATAAGGATAATGAATTGAGTCCTTCTTTAATCATTGTTGTACGCTGAGGGTTTGAGTTTCTTTAAGGACAAAAATGAGTGTTCTGTTATACGGTTTGTGATTATTAAAATTAGGAATATGTGTAAAGCAATTTCAACATTGGGAAATATGCATTGTATTTTATTTTCTATTATGGAATCATACATGCCTACATGTCTTCCCTGAATCTGTAAACTTAGTTCTCATGTAAGAATGAAATTGTCACACTTCTCTGTAAAGGTTTGTATTTAAGTCATTGGGATAAGTCTGCACTAATTTCTTGGATGCCTTCATACATTCTTCATCAGGTACATTCACATTGTTTAAGAAGGAAAATCTCCTTGAAAGAACTTCATACACTTTTGCCCTTCTTTTGTATATGTTTTGTTGTCTTTTCAGAATTTTCAAAATCTTCTCTTAAATTATGTAAATACCCTGTTAGAGACTGGTAGAAATCTATGCATGTCTTTAAATTTACTTCTGAATCTTGGACAGCTTGACTTGTCTGATGAAAATGCTACAATGTATTATTCCACATACCCAACATAAATACATACTCTAGTGTTTGCGTTTTGTTGGTGATGTTTTCAGCTTCTCTTTAGTATCTCCTTTTTGTGTCTGGTCTTCAGCAATATTTTCTAAGGCATCTAGAATCTGAGTGTCCAGTTCCAGGATTGCACTCATTGCTACAACATGTGCTTCCCAACATGTATTAGAAAGACATTTTAATACTCAATCATTGCCTAAGTATGTTTTAAGAACTGCCCATCAGTGAGTAGAGGCAGCAAAAAATGTGTAGAGTAACTTAACAGTAGGAAAAAAATCAACTGCTTCTGGACAACAATCTACTGTGCTACGTCCTACAAGATTAAGTGAATGCGCAGCACATGGTATGAAAATGGCATATGCATTATGTTCTAAAATTTTCTGTTGCCTGCCTTTATAACACCCTGATATATTGGCAACACTGTCATAGCAGTGGCCTTTGCACCTAGAAAAATCAGTTTTGCCAACTTCATGTAAATAGTGACGTACCTGGGAGAAGGATTCGAGACAGCGGCATAGTCAGACGCACCATGCTGTCCCTCTACAGCAAAGACCTGAGAAACAAAGTAACAGATATAGATGACAACGCTGGAACCCTGAGCATCAAATGAAAGGATATAGAATTAGATCAAACACTGACTGGAAAAAGAAAGTGAATGACAGCAGAGAGATACAGAGCACAGCAGGGCCATTTTGAGACAAAGCCAGCAGCAGCTCTAGGTAAGGAGCGTAGGAAGACAACATCACAGAACTCCCAACAGGAGACAGAGAAACTGCAAAGACATACCTAGAGGGAAGCAAGGTGAGCAGGACATGAAGTGTAGCTAAGGAGGAAAAGGAAAGAGGATGAGAGCTTCAGGGATCCTGGTGTACAGAAAGCAGGGAGGAAAGTAGGACCCAGAGACAGGGTAATTCTCCAGTGGTGCTACCTGACAGGTAGGGTGGGTGGTAAACACGGAGCAATACGTAAGCCCCCCTTTTTTTCTTTTCCTCTCCCCCCTCCCACTAGAGAGAGCACCCGTGTGCCCTCTGGAAGTCTGCCCACCTCCCCCGAGCTGGAGAGAGCACCTACACAACCCTCGGCCACCTGCCCCACCTCTCCCATGTTGGAGAGAGCACCTGAGTACACCCTGGCAGTCTGCCCACACCTACCCCACGAGAGTGCCTGTGTGACCCCAGCTGCCCACCTGCCCCTCCCCCACTGAAGAGAGTGCTTGCTCAGATATATCAAAACAAAACAAAACAAAAAAAGCATAAATAAATAAAATAACACCTTAATGCCTTGGAGACAGCAGACAGTATCAAATCATATAAAAAAACAAGACAAGATGGCTCAATCAAGTGACCAAAACAAAGGGGCAAAAAACATTTCCAAGGAAGAGATGGTAATGGAACTGCCTGATAAGGAATTCAAAAAGCTTATATATAGGGTCGTTAAAGAGATCAAGCAAAACACAGACAAGACCCTAGAATAATTCAGGAAAACAATACAAGAACAAAAAAAGTTAAATAGACAATTAGAAATCATACAAAAATAACAACTAGAAATCCAGAAGATTAACAATAAAATATCAGAAATAGATAACTCAACTGAAGGACACAGAAGTAGAATTGAAACAATGGAAGAAAGAATTAGCAAAATAGAGGACAAATCCCTTGATATCAATTTATTTGAGGAAGAATCAGAAAAAAGAATGAAAACATAAAGAAAGCCTAAGAATTATGTGAGATACTATGAAGAGGAATAATTTATGCATGATCAGAATCTCAGAACAGAAAGAGACAAAAATAAAAAAGCACAGAGAGAATTTTTGAAGATCTGCTGCAGAAAACTTACTCAATATCATGAAAGATGGGAAGATTTCTATCCAAAAAGCTTAATGAACCCCATATAGGATAGACCCCAAAAGAAACTCACCAAGACATATCATAATCAAACTTTCCAAGTCCGAAGAGAGAATTCTGAGAGCAGCTCAGGAAAAACAAAATAT